ATAGTTTGACAAACATCTGAGAGATTGTGTGCAATGTGTTTTTTTTCCCTGCAATGCAAAAAAGGAAATGAGCTTCAGTTACATCTTCCAGTAGAGCATCATCCAGTGGCCAAAGGTGCATTATTGGATTTTTTTTTACTATCAGGCGTCAGTACAGTACTTCTTTGTGAAGATTCCTTAAAAAAAGAACAATAGAACACATTTTAACAGTAAAAACGTGTTGAAATACACAGCTGACAAACTAATTGTTTGTGAAATGTCACAGACAAATTATTGTGTTTATATAATCTTCTTTTTAGCAGATTTTCCTCATCACAGTTGGTTTTACAAATTTGCAGATTTGATTTATTGCAAAACCCACCCTTCGTCAACATAAAACAAAATGTTTCCCCTCTATTTTCAAGGTTTATTCACAAGGTAACACAAAGCAGTACCCCCGTTATTTTTATTTGATAGTATTATAAACTAATAGTTATATACAGGTATATTATGAACTTTTATGAGCGTTTACTTCTTCACTTAATGATTTACTTTCAACCAATTGGTGTCAGAAACTGTTCAGCCTTGACTCTCACTATGACACAGTTATCTAAGTTGAAAAATATTTTTGTTTTATTGAGGGATGTGTTCAGAATATGTGCTTCTTTTTCGCAAATAACAGACATATGAGTGCAGATTTTTTTTATCTTCCAGAAATGTTATAATACTGACTGTAGTAAACGACAAGTTCTTTAAATAGACCAAATTTAGTTGCTTTTTACAAAGAACTGTGCCTTTTCTTTTCACCTCTAAAACACGAGGGAAAAAGACTTTTGTACAACTCTTGAAGATGGAAGACCTAACGTAATGAAAAACCCCTATGCCTAAAAGGGACATATAGAGGGAGGGCACTGAAGAGAAGAGATTGTTAAAAGTCACAGGGTTTAAATCAAATTCAAAGTAAAACACAAAATGGCTGTTTATTTTATAAAGCAAATGTTTGCACCCCACAGGAAGAAAGGTAAAGAGATAAGGGCTCCTGAAGGATTTTTCTGTGCAAAGAAAAGAGACCGAGGGACAAGAACATTCTGTCTTTTTATTATAATTTATTTCTATTCAATATTGTTCATTGAAGTTAAAGAAGAATCAGCTCCTTATCTCCCTCACACAATAGGTTATAAACGCCACAAGTTAGATACAACCTAAAAATGCATGAATTAAAAAAAAAACACAACACAATTCAAGTCTTATTTTCATGACTTATTTTTTTGCATAACTGATATTCTGACAAACAGTTAACTACACAGAAGGAATGGTCTTACTTTGAAGTAGTTCGATAGACGTGCAGACTAATAATGG